AGTCACTTTCTGAAAGCTGCTTTCAGCTTTTACACCTGAAGCTTTTTGTTCTTTTGCCTTTCTCTGCTATGATTCTCACCTTGTGCCAAGAAAATATCTTTTGTTTTTCCACTGGTCTCAGTAATAGCTGTTAGTTGAGTTAGATTTGAACGGAGTTCTGTTAAGAAGTATAACATGACCAAGGTTGTTTGCAGCAGTGTGCAGGCTCTACATTGTAGTGATTGGAATGGATTAAATACACATAATGCATTTAAAATACGTGCATACATGGACATAAATATTTTTTGTTTAATTAATTTTTTTCCCTGGATAATTCCGGAGTTCTCTGCACCATTTAGTTCAATGACCAGCCCACCAAGGATGAAGCACTGCTGTAGAGGTATGCAAAAGCAACATCACATGCTCACAGATCTGAAGAGGCAGGGAAAATAAAGAATATTGTAAATGCAAAGCATAAGGTCATTAAATGGATACTGGTTTTATATGAAACTGAAGAGGCAGGGACTTGGATGATTAACCTTAGCAATTGTGCAAGTGACCGTAACTTCAGTAAAGTCAGGGGGCCTCCATTAATTTATTCTTGGAATAAGCATTGTCCTGACTCAATATTTGGAAGACTACTTAATGAAATTCTTCATTTTCCAATACACTATTGAATTTCATTACATTTTATAACAAAAAAGGCAGGAATGAAAATAAGGATTTATTTCAGAATAAGCCAGCAGAAACATGGGTGCAGATTCACAATGCACGTTAAAAACTCATCTGCACAGACAGGTACAGATAATGGCACATTTGCTCAAAACTTGTTCTAAACTGATTCTGATGCCGAGCAGCCAGGCCAAGCAAGCATATTAGTTAACTCTGCGTAGCCTTACCTTGTTGTTTGGATGGATGTTTGTAACCTGCTCTGGAACTCTCATGTACAGCAAAGCGTACAGCTCCGTGGAGGTGAATAAACTCATTCTTAGTGTGTGGCAAGAGTGACCCACCCAGTCAAATGGTTACCTATTTGTAATTTACTCTACTACACACTGGCTCTGTGCCCACCACATTTCCACTGCAGGCAAGCTCTTAAGTGTTGTGTAGATGTCAGCTCTTTTATATCAGATCGCAAGAGAGCTATCAATATAATTTGATCTTTATAGAGAGAGAGAACATGTAAAAGCTCAAGTGCTGTTCATATAATCCGATTATCTTTTTCCTGTTTCACAGAACTATGGCTTTTTTCTTATCCAGTTTGATCTACCTTCCAAGGTCCATGTGGTGTTACTACACTGGTGGCATTGTCCCCCAGTAAGATTTATATAAACAGAAGAGTTCATTTACCTTCTCCATGGGGTTGTGCATGTCTCTCTGGAACACTGAGAACCTCAGGCAAGACAGAAGCTTTCAGTGCTCAGCTGACCTGAGGACAATCTCACTGGTCAAACAAAAAGCACAGTTGGGGCTGGACACTGGCTATCTTCCAGTATACACAGAGCTACTTGGAGACAGTGAGAATCTGAACTAGGGACTTGCTCAGCCAGTTGTGCTGAGCAGCTGTAAAAGTTCTCACAGCCCATCAATGGAGCAGGTGTAAAACTCACTGGGTGACTGAAAGTAACTGGTCACTTAGAGCTCTTGTTGTTTGCTTCTAAGGGTTTGTTTATTATAAGAATGTTTAAGTTAATGTGCCATCCTGTGGACACAGGGTTAGTGCCTGGATTTAGGATTTCTCACTGACTGCGTCATCCATTGGCTACATCGTAAGCTCTGACAGGTCACTTTTTTCTCAGTGTTTCAGCTTTCTCATGTATGAAATAGGCTCGATGATACTTTCCTCTAAATGGTATTTTCGAATCTGTGTATGACTGGAGCTACTAGAGTTTTTGCCTCTACTGATGGTATAGAGTTTACACTGTTGTAGTTTAGCTGGTGTCTACCTAGCTTTACCATAGCAATAGGAACGGAGGCTTCTATGTTTGTGCAACCACTTCATTGTTTTCCATGCTAATGCTGTTTTTCTTTATATAGATATGGCCTAAGCATCCGGGTCCAGCTGATAAAGAAAGTTTGCTTTTCACTTGTGTGCTCCTGCACAACTGGTCATTGAGTTCAGCCATTTTGGGATTAAGCTGAAGATGTTTTAATTTAAAAACTAAATGTTAAATATGGTTGCAGTACAGCCAGAATCATTTATCAGACATTTTTAAATCAAAAGTGCAAAGGAAACACTGTTGGTGAACAAGTTTCTCTGTTCCCTCCCTGAATCTTATGTAATTGATACAGAACCCCCCCCCAGTTTTGTACTTTTCTCCCACACTCCTGTGTTTGGAATGCTAATCACAGGACACAGAGAATGTTCACAAAGGGAAGGTATATGGCTCTCTTCTGTTCCAAGTATGAAGACATCCTTTTAATTGCATGCAGACAGCAGATGGTATGGCTTTTGTGGCGTCATGAACTCCAGCACAATGTAGTCAGCCACTGCACAGCATGGTACAATTTAAAGCTGAGTAAATATGGGGAGAATGAAGGGTTAGGGGTGGGAAGGCAGTCATTCCTAGGACATTTGTTCCATTTTGATTTTACAAATTGACCATGATTTTGTTATGCTTCACTCTTATTCACTTTCTGCATCTGTTCTAGAAAACTGCTTTCCTGCCAGGAAAATACACCCAAACAGTGTTAAAAGGGTTGTTGTCAACTTCAAAAACCACATCTCCATTTGAAAGTTTTATGTTTTCTTTCATAAGAAGATGTAAGATTTTGAAGTTACTTTCTCTCAGACTTCAGAAGAAGTAGGTAAAAAAAAAAAATTCCCAATTAATAAAGATGAGGTAACACATTTTTCCAGTCCACAGGTATAATAATCTCTCACAAAATTGACTCGGAATTTTCTGTAAGTTTTTCTGGTCAGAAAATTATTTTCCATTCAAAGCCCCCTTCATGCCTGATTCAGACTTTTCACCCATCAGTCAGTGTGTTATTCTGGAATCTCATTTTTTCCCCTCTAAGGAAAAGTTCTGAAACTGCAAAAAATTTTCTTAAGACAGGAAAAGTTTTCCTATTCATACCTCATATGCCCTGCATCCTCTGTTATTGGTTTAAAGGCTGTATAACTTACAGACAGCAGAGGCTTTGCATAAAATAAAACAACTTAGTAAGTAAAATAAATTAATACATAATAGAGAGGATTTTTTTCATTGAGTTGCAATGTACCCTGACAAGTAATATGCTGTTTAATACATATATGTATATATAGCAAATATATTTAACTTTAATAAAATTTTAACCCCCCCAACAGATACTATTTTAAGTAGTTATTGTGCACACTGGTATACTGTGACAAAACAGTTAGGTATTTCTAGTGTATTTCTAGCTCCTCTTGAATTTGATGCAGGTGTGACATAATTACATCCAGTCTCAGATCTGTGAGGCTACATCAAGGCACAGCCAGTATGTGACCATAGGAGAGAGGACCCAGAGGAGGCAGGATTCACCAAGAGGCACCGTTCTGGCTCAGCTCCCTAGAGCAGCTTGCAAGCTACGCTACACTTTCCAACGTGCAGGATTTAGAGTACAGGCTGAGGGAGTGTACAACTGTGAACTCAGATAATGTTACTAGTAAGAAAACTGTTAGATGTAGCAATGCTTCTAATTTGTATAGTTTTACAATAAATTAATGTACCATGATTTATGATATTTAACATTTTACTGAAGTTTCTCTCATTCTCTGACAGAATGGAGTATGGATAAATGTGTTAATCAGAAACACAGAAATGGTCACATAGAATACATCCATTTGAAAGTATACAGTGGTGAAGTTTAGTGGACTTTTGTTTTCCATGTTGTTAATCACCCAGCCTATGTTCCTGTTCTTCTGATCAGTTTCTTGACTCTAAATAGACATGTTCTTCCATTAGCCTGTGGTATTAATTAGTTGCATTTAAGAAACGGAACCCACTTGGCAGACAGCAAAACCTGGGGAACACTGTTATATATTTCTCCAGATTTCCAAAACCAGGGAAAAGTAGATTTTCTCTTCCTTCACAAATTTATTACTTTAATTATATAAAAAAAAAAATCTATTACACCATTTTAATGTAAATCCTAGGAATGTTTTTGTTCAGATTAGAAATTGTTGGTCTGTGTCCCCAGCCAGTGGAGCCATGCCAACGCCCAGCAGCTGGGAATTTCCTACCCTGCTATCTGTGTGCAGCAACGGATTCATTAGGCATAGGACATCTCCTGTATGCATTCTAAATTACCTACCAGACTCCTTGATTTTTAATATATGGTTATATTACATAAATCAGAGCTCTGCTTTTCCAAAATAGGTATATTTTTTGTACTTTGTGCAAACATTTTTTAAGCAACAATACGAAGCACTATTTGTCTCTTGATATTAAATAAGGTATGGGAACATGGTGCCACTGACTAATCTAATGTACTTTACATCCAAGTAGTGAAAAATATTCATAATTCTTTTTTCTGTGTGGAGATAAGGTAAGACATGTGCAAGTGCAGTAGTTTACCCAGAATCTTGTCATTGCCCATATCCTACCAGAAGTACTTAGGATTCTGTGCAGCTGTTTCTTATTTTCATATTTTAACTAATGTAGGCTATGCTTCCAAATAGAGGAAGGTTGGGATCTCAGGACACTGCTTTGAAGACATTTTCTCCCTGTTTCATTGTAACATATTTTACCATTATTCCATCCTGAATGCAAAATCAGTGGAATCTTGAAAGTAAAAATATATCACTTTGTTTAAATATACACTGAAATGAAGACTGAGCTTTTGTCCTTGATTTCTGCTGATCTCCTGATTATTGTCAAGGATGTATAATTGAATTATAACCCTGATTTTCATACAGGTCAATGGCATCCATGCTAATGACTCACAGATCATAAAAGTATATTTCCAAAGGGTGTGGAATTGGTGGGCTGAACAGCTTGGGCTGGTTTATAAAAACGAGGGCCTGAAGCCATCTGCACTTATCCATTCTTCTTTGTTCCAGCTGCGATTCTGCTTTACCAGCCACATCACCAGGGCAACATGGCATTTACAGGCAAATTCGAATTTGAAGCCGATGAGAACTATGATGACTTTGTGAAGAAAATTGGTAAGTATGTCTTGGGGTGTAATTCTTAAGGGTTATAAATTAGTTAAAAATGTTTTGGTTTGTTTCTGCTGAAATGTGCTGAGATCAAGAGGGGCTAAGGCTGATAGGAGTGCTCTGCACTTCAGCAAGGAGATTCGGTTTTCATTCTTATAAGAAGCACTGTCAGCCACAGGAAGTAGTCTCGTTCTACAGAAGTAGTATTCCTTCTCAGGGGCAGCAAAATGAAGGGCCAATATGTTTGCAGTATAATGATCATGAAGGTCACTTTTTCTGTCCTTAGTATTCATAGGTGGGAGTATAAATTTAATATTAAAATGCTTGTCATAAACTTATGCAGGAACCAGGTTTCTGTGAATGCTTACAGAAGACTATTCAAACCTTTTTCAGAGATTACTCCGTAAAATCTCTTAGGGATACTATGATCTGTGCACATAAATTCAGTGCTTGTCTTCATTTATTTAAAAAGCAATAGCAAATATTAAGTATGTGCTGCTGTATAGCAAAGGCACATTAAATTCCATGCATCTGCATGTGTAGATTAAGTAGAAGTGAATATTTATATATACTTTGTATCCATACCTTTATTCTGTGTATTGTTTCTCAGGGAAAAGAAAACAAGACCAAAAGTTATTTTACCAAATGCATTGATGTCACTGCATCTTCCTTTATACCAGTAATTTAAACTCAGAGCTTTGGTACTGCTGTAAAAAAATTTTTAAAAAAGAAACCCAAATCAGATGCTCAGACATCAACGTCTGAGAACAAACATACCATTAGCATGCTTCAATTCAAATACATCTGGTAGGCTATTAGATTTTATAAACTGCATGTTTCTATTTTTTAAGGTCTCTCCAGTGACAAGGTTGAACTGGGAAGGAATTGCAAAATAGTCACTGAGGTGCTGCAGAATGGAAATGACTTCACCTGGACACAGCATTTCCCAGGAGGCCGCACCACAACCAACACATTCACAATTGGCAAGGAAGCAGACATGGAGACAATGGGTGGTAGAAAGTTCAAGGTACATTAATTTAGCTCTTAAGTTTTATGCTGTTTCGTTTGTTTTTTAATTTCGAGTGAAAATCAGATCTGTCTCAGGGACCTTCCTTAAATTGTTTCTTTTATCTGTCAGAGCTTAGAAACATATTTTTTCCTCTCATTTCTTGATGCCCCTAGCAAAATATCTAACTCTGATTTTAAAGACAGCTAGAGCTTTCGAACTGTACCGACTAATAAAGAATGAGGGTAGAGTGTCAAGCATCTACTGCTGTCGCAGCTCAAGCAAACATAATGCTCATTAAAACTCTAAAGAGCTGGTTGGCAGCTGTCTCAGTGTCCAGCACCACACAGCAATGGCAGCACACTCTGAGGGCTCTGCCCATGCCTGTCAGCAGTGCTCAGCTTTTGAAGTCACCTGCACCTGAGCTTTAAACAAAAGACTGTGTAAAGCGAAGGGAAAAGAAAAAAAACTCTATATCCTCCTTCCTATTGGAAGTAAAGAGCAACTTGCAACTTAAGCAGCCTCTAGCTCCTGTCATGGACAGAATCTTGATTCAAAGCCTGCTGTGAAATGGTTGCTTTACTTACCTTCTTCATTTCTCATCTATTCAAAGGGATAAGACAATTTGGGACAGCTAAACTGCATTTGTGAGGTGTCCAAAACCCTACAATATGTTACTGGATAAATGCTTTTTACATATTGAAGAGACAGGAAAACCAGCAATTGTATGGGGGAGTTGTGACAAACTGAGAACAGCATTGCATGATTTCCAGAATGCTTTTTCTCTCCTCTTTCTGAGGAAAAAAAATCCATGTGTTTGGCTTTGTGAAACCTAACAGATAGAAGACGACACACTTTTACTTGGTTATTTTATTGCAAATGTAACAATATTGAAATATTACAAATTCCATTCTCTTCTTTTTGGTCCGGTCCACTTCAGTAGCCAAAGATGAAGGCACAGTAAGTGATTCTCAGCAGAGAAACCACCAATTTTTAGTATAGTGTCGCTGAACAATTCATAAACTGGTAACATGGTTTCCTTGTATCTGGTAGAAAATGGCCACTCATCTCTTCATTTTGCAAATTACTTTTTTCTCCTCTAAATAGGACTGGCTTATCTGTCTTTATTACTAAAAGCTTAGGCAAGACTGACTAGTTGTACAGCCAAGACTGATTTTGTGATGGAACCACGTATCTAGTTTTGGCGGTCAGCTGAGCTGATGTAGTATTTGTGATCTTCATAGGAGCGTCCTGGCGTACTTCTTCCACGCAGCAGCTCTTTCAGCAATTGGCACATATTGTAGTATAAAGGTGTGACTGCAGACTGTGCAGAGATGAAGCCTAGTGTAGTTAGAGATATGAAACTGGGGATCTAGGGTAAAGATTCACATAATTTGTCCACAGTGACTTTTGTGCTGCTTGCAGGCAGGTTATTAGTATCTGAGAATGCTACTTCAAAATTAACTCATACAGTCATGCCTTTTACTTCCCTGTCAAGAGAACCACATAAAACATTGAGGACTGAATAAGAAACATTGTCTGTACTCAGATAATTTTTAGAGCTATGAATTCATATTGTGTAGATATGGAACTTGTATGTACTGTTAGATTAACATTTTTCTGTTTAAATTGTAAATATTTAGGAACTAAAGCACAAGGATTTTAGTCTTGTTCATGAAGCCGCACATGTAATACACAACTTTTACTTTTTTAAAAGGAAAAACTTTAAGCATCAGATGTACAGATGCTTACAGCGTATCTGATAATATAAATGCCAGTAACCCCAGGGAACATTAAACCTTTCTCTATTACAGGCAACTGTTAAAATGGAAGATGGGAAAATAGTAGCTGATTTTCCCAACTATCATCATACTGCAGAGATTTGTGGTGGAAAGCTAGTAGAGGTGAGTTCTCAAATATCCAGGTTCGTTTATAAAAAACAAACAAAACCTCCAGAGTAGCAGGCTTAAAATTTTGAGTTTAGAAAAAATGCTTATCTAAAGTAAAGCATAACTATTAAATAGTCTTCTAAAATTTTGTGCATGTTTAATCCAAAAATTAAATTAACAAAATTTTCCTCATATACTTTTGATAAACTTGAAATGTAGATCTTGTATCTTAGGCACAGAAACACAGTTTTATAGCTGTAAGACTGGAACATTCAGACTGAAATATTCCCAAGCTGCCATGTCTTTGTACTCACTGTGCCCATGCCTCAAGAATAGAAAATAATATATATAGATCTTTTCACCTACTACTTACACGCTTCTATAAAGTTATTAACTTTGTTTTATTCTTAAAAAACTATCTAGCTTCAACTCCTCACAGAATTTCTATAGAACCCTATTTCCTTAGTCTTACAAAAAAAACCCCCAAAACACAACACAAAAGAGGTTTGATTTCAAGTAGTATTCTATCAATAAAATGGCAACATAGCTTTGGAAGATTACTGAAACTGTAATACTTCTAGTAAAACTTGCAGAACAGATAGAATTGTCAAACATCATGATTTCTGATTCTCAAAAAATCTCCTGGATTGACTTATATCTGTGTCAGTTATGTATGTCTGAGTGCATCTTCAACAGAGATTAACCAGAAGTAAGTTACTCCATGAATCAAGAACCAACACTCACCCTCCCTGAAAGTAATAGTGTCAATCATTTATTGTTTTTGGAGAACAATTATCTCTAAAACTCGGATAACTTGGATAGCTGGTAAAGCCATGTCTAACACAGGATACATTTAAGTTATCCCTAAATGCCTGTTCTGAAGTTATGCTGGTTGTGTAAGAATATTTTTGCACTGTGTATTTCAGACTTGACAAGGACATTGAGCTTATTTTCTAGATATGTCTTCTACCAAAGGGTAAATGTTGCTTCAGTAAAGGACAGGCTCTGTGAGCCAGCCAGCAGGTCTTTTCATTTGTGACACTGAAGCGCTAATTACACTGTTCAACCAAATTTGTGGTTTGTTCTTTATTCTAGATTTCTACTGCTTCTGGTGTGGTCTACAAAAGGATCAGCAAAAAGATTGCTTAAAGCAGTAAAGCCAGTCTCTTGCCATGCACTGAAAAACAAACAATACAAATAAATAAAATAGAGTGCCAATTGTCTTTCTCTCTTTCTTTGTGGTACAAACATGAAGAATTGTTTTTCAGAGTAGTGTTATCCTCAACATTAATGCTTACCCCCTTCCTAAAGATCAGAACATAGAACAAAGCATTTAATGATGCGTTCCAGTCTCTATGATGCATATTTGGCATATTCAAATATTGTCTATCACCTACTTCAGCTTCTGTCTAGAGAATAGGGTGACATTCTGCCCAAAGTGTAGATCAAAATGCAAGATCTGATTAAAGTCTTTTGCCCTATTGCTGGTTGGAGGGCAGAAATTTAGGAGCTTGAAAACAAGAGGAACTCAGTTTATCACTCATTAAAATATATGTTTTCATACTGCTATAATGGTTTTCTCATTCTCATCAGTATCTCCTCTTGAGGTTTTACAAACATACTCCTCGAGAAAATGTGGAGTCTTCTTTTTCCAATGCAATCCCCTTGCTTATATAGAGTGCATGTGAAAACCTGTTTTTTTGAACACAGTAGGAATTAAATATAACAGTTTTCAGATTCAGTGTCCCAAATCACTTCTGACCAATACCTGGTCCACAAAGCATTTCCCTTTTCAGATTCCTTTTGCCAGCTGTCTTGCCTTCTGGATCCACCACCTAGCTCCTCACAAACTAATCGGTAACTAATCATGGCAGGTGTCTTGTGTACACAAAAGTTCATTTTCTGATGGGCCTACATACACAACTGATAATCCCAATCGTTTCAGGTATCTTACATTAAAAAAAGGCTTTTAATTCCTTTCTATATTTTTCCTCAATAGAGATTACTAAGCTTTTCAGCTGCAACAAGGCTTCATCCAGGCTCTATCAGTTTACCCGAAACAGGCTGCACAATCTTATGACCAGGTGTTGCTTAATGTATTACTTACTCTGTCTCCAAGGCTAAGCATAATGCTGAACTCTAATTAAATACAAGTCAAATCTGAAAAGCATTCAATCTTGAGGCATTCTTTTGGTACTTGCAACAAACAGATCTACTGATAGAATTTTGTTGAAATCCAGTCTCTTCAGTTAATGAGGTCATATTGAAAAGTAATAAGGGATCTCTCTAGGCTTACTCCTTATTTCAGTTCAAGTCATCTAGTACATTCCTCTGCAAATAATAACGTGACATCTTAGAACATTTGGACATAAAATGTGCCCATCATATTCAACGCTTAACCAACTACAGAGGCAAAGACAGGCACTGTGCAAGCACTATATGAAACTAAAGCTTATACTAGAACTGAGGGATGGTGGTGTTTTGTCTGAACCATTCACATGCACAAGAACCTGCTCTGAAGGAGATGATGCTGATAACTGGTGATTCCCTGCTTTGAAAACAAAATGGAACCAGCCATAGCGAATTCTAGAAGCAACTACATTTAGCATTATGCAACTGGCACATTCTGTTTTCACATTCTGCATGTGATCAAGTAACTCCCCCTCATACAGACAACAATGCTTTGAAAGGAA